GTATTCTTTTGCACCCAACTTCACATTTAAGCCGTATAATTTTTATATGCTTTGAGAGCTTATATAGCAAGGCTTGTGTGTGAAAAATTCCAATTAATTCTACGCAGTAGTTTTTGGTTGGTGCGATAAGCAGCATTTTCGACATATCTTACTGTTTTACTACAGAAAGGGTAAAAATGCTGTTCAAGCCAGAAAGAAATTGACTGATGTGTATGGAGAAGGTGTGTTGACAGTACGCCAGTGCCAGAACTGGTTCGCTAAATTTCGATCCGGCAATTTTAATGTCGAAGATGCACCACGTTCGGGAAGGCCGGTTGAAGCTGATAAAGACGCGATAAAGGCATTAGTTGATGTGAACCGGCGAATAACAACACGTGAGATAGGATTGAGATTAAATTTATCAAATTCAACAGTTTATGACCACTTGAAAGGCCTGGGATTATCCTCGAAGCTCGATGTATGGGTTCCCCATGTTCTCACACAGGGAAATCGTGTCGCCGCATTGACGTCTGCGATTCGCTTCTCAAACGTCACGAAAATGATCCGTTTTTGAAGCGCATCATCACTGGGGACGAAAAATGGGTTGTATACAACAACGTCAAACGCAAGAGGTCATGGAGCAAAAAAGATGAACCGGCTCAAACCATTTCCAAAGCCGATATTCACCAAAAAAAGGTGATGCTGTCTGTTTGGTGGGATTTTAAAGGAATCGTTTTTTTTTGAGCTTTTACCGGATAACACAACGATTAATTCGGAAGTCTACTGTCATCAGCTGGACAAACTGAATGATGCACTTCAACAGAAAAGGTCAGAACTAATCAACAGGAAAGGTGTAGTGTTTCACCAAGACAACGCGAGACCTCACACAAGTTTGGTCACTCGCCAAAAGCTTTTACAGCTTGAATGGGATACAATGCTACACCCACCATATTCTCCAGACCTGGCACCATCGGATTATTATTTGTTCCGGTCACTCCAAAATTTTTTAGACGGTAAAACCTTCACCTCAAATGAGGAGGTCAAAAACCTCGATCAGTTTTTTGCCAGCAAAGACCAAAAATTTTATGAGCGTGGAATTATGCTACTACCAGAAAGATGGCAAAAGGTGTTGGACCAGAACGGTCAATATATAATTTAATAAAGTATTTGTTTATTATACGAAAACTGTCTTTCATTTCCACAAAAAAAAACGAAATGACTTTCCGAACAACCCGATAGTTCACGTATACAGTGGGTATTATAATGAAAACCACAAATTTCCGTTTAATCGGTTTCACGAGTTAAATGTTTATTTATAGTAGAATTTCTAAATAATATTATACACCTAAAAATAGTGTTTTAACGTAAACAAAATGCGCAATACATTTACGATATGCACGGGTAATTGGTACCGTGAAAATATCTTTTCTGATCGATTTAATGAATGATATAATCGATATAGCTGACAACACAATGCAAACTGCATAATGAGGCAATTTACATATCGAAATAATACAATTGTACCTACACAATGTATGTCCATATCTCGGCTTTGTCTTATCCTTCAGTTAAAATATGCATATTGAGAAGGCTAAATATGAGAAAATGTTTTTATAATAACAAATCAACAGAAAACACGACAGCAGGAATAAAAAGTGTATACATTTGTTTAAAAATATATTATGCAAAAACTATTAACTTAAAACTATAACAAAAACTACACAAATGTGTGCAGTCATGTGCAACTTTTTTTTTTTAATTGAAGACTGCACACTTTTTATTTATTTTACAAAAATAATTTTTGTAATTGTTTTGAGTGATTTGTATTTTCTTAATTTCCCATTATCTTTATTATCATCATAAGGTCGTCAGTCCTAAGACTGGTTAGACACGCACCTCCACCCTTTCCTACCTTGAGCTAATCTTCGCATTTTCCTAAAACTACAACAACCCCCATCCTTAACTATTTGCGAACAGTAATCTAATCTAGTTCTACCTCTACCCTTCCTAACTCCCGTTTCTGCCTCTAATAAGTCTCTGACTAGACCTTCATGCCTGAGAAGGTGTCCTACCAACCTGTCTCGCCTATTTCTTATTGACTTCCATAGAGTCCTCTGTTCTCCTATTCTTTCTAATACCTTTTCATTTCTAACTTTCTTTATCCACGTTACCCTCATCATCCGCCTATAACACCACATTTCAAACACTTCTAACCTTTTCTTTTCCGCTGCGCCCACTGTCCATGTTTCGCACCCGTACAGCGCCGCGCTCCAGAATTACACCCTTAACAATCTTTTTCGAATTTCTAAATTAATCGTTCGCGCGCATAGAAGTGACTCCTTTTTGTTGAAGGCTACTCGACCCTGCGCTATCCTCTGCTTTATATCCCTACTACTCCTTCCGTCTTGACTTTTCTGACTTCCTAGATATCTAAAATCAGCCACTTTTTCTAATTTTTCGTTTCCTATTTTTAAATTCGCTCTTTCCCTACTTTTTCTTCCTTTGCATACCATACTTTTGTTTTACTTTTATTTATTTTCAAACAATACTGTTTTGTCAATACCGCTTCCATTTTATTTAAAGCTATCTCTAAGTCCTCCTTGTCAGATGCTAATACTGCTATATCATCTGCAAATCTAAGCATACTAATCTTTTGTCCCTGTATATCTAATAATTATCCTCATATAGAAAATTTAATTCTACAGGTTTTGACTGAGGCAGTAGCGATTTAGGAAAATGATGAGAAAACATATTCATTAATTATTATTAAAATGCTTATTTCAGTTACGAAAGAAAAAAAAAACAAAAACAAAAATGACGATAAGTGAAAGTAGCGATGTGTTCCACAAGAAACGTGAAAATTCTGTAGAATAGAAAGTGGGTATTCTTATTACTAAAAACGAACAACTTTGTATATAAGTTTCTTCAGATATGCATGTGTATAATGAAGGCTAAAACATAAAAAAAGTTATCAGTAAAACTAAGTTACTTTGTCAAACGTTTCCTTGTATTATAAATAGATAGCTATTATAATAAAGGAGAAAATTAAAAGCTGCAGGTCGTTGACAGAAAATTTCCATCAACTTTTGTTTACAATTGAAGAAATGAGGGTTTTAGCTGATAGAATTCGATATATTTACTAAAGTATGTTTATTAATGATAAAAAAAATTAACTGAAACTACTAAAATACACTATTAGAAAATTAAACAAACGATAACATATGTCTCATTCTAAAGGGGTAACTTTATAATCTGAAAATGATCCCGTGGGGTGAAACATGTCTTATAGTTTGTATAATTCTCTAATACACTTTGTGATTTTTAGTAGATTTCTTTTCTTGCCAGTAATATACACGTCGTAGTGAATTTCATTTTTCGACACAAATCTTAGTTTTTGTTTTGCGATTAACGGGAATTTTATGCTGTATTTTAAAGAATAAACCGTTAATTTCTTCGCTAAAATTAATTACCTACCCACCAAATTGGAAATGTTTTCGATAATAAATTGTAACCATCATCTTGAATTATCTCCATGACATGGGATATTTCACAGTTCACTGAATATTTCTCGTATTAATTATAAAGCAAAACGCCGGCAACGGTTATTTTTCAGGAATTTTAACTTTAGGTGGCAAAAAATTCGTTATTTTTAGAAAACCCTCACATTCCGCATACACAGACATTACATTAATAAACTGAATATTACCTAAATAAAATCCAATTTATGATCTAAACGCTTCCTCATTAATAAATTAATTAATGACGAAGTTTTTATCGAAAGAAAATTCAGGACTAAATAGGAAGATTCTTTAACAATATTATTATAAAATTGTCATTTAAAGAACTGACGATTAGAATTTTAAGAATGAACTTTATACTTTTAAAAATTATTTTTATAGTTACAATAAATCGGGTCGATCGTGTACGTATAAAAGAAATGAAAAATATATGCAAATTTTTGAATATTCTGATCTTGATGGTATGTGAATTAGCATACCAATGACGTCAAAATACTTCTATTATGAATTCTTATATCAACTCATATCGATTATCACATAATCAGCACGGCGACTTCCGAAATTTTTAAAAATATAGAAGATTTAAAAGGGTACGGTTTAAAGATAGCCAATCAAGCAGTAAATACTAAAATGAAATTTAAAGGTAACAAAGTTCCCTTTTTAAGAAAAAGGGGAAAATCTTTCTCTAAAGAAACATAAAACACTTAATTTTGAAGAAAGGTAAAATTAGAAAACTTAATATAACAAAAAAGTAAAAAACAAACGTAAATTTAACTGGATTATTGGACTTTTTTATAAGGTAAATGCATTACCATTTACCGCAGTGTTTTTAAATTATTCGTACGTAAATTTTTAGCCTTATACCTATAAATTATTTGCGATATTGTCATTGACGTTTAAACGTAATTATTGCAAAATAAGTTACAATTGACGAAAATCAAACAATTTACGTGACAGGCATTTTCACGGTCAAAAGAGACAAATGGAAATTCGTAGACCATTAAATAGAAAATATTGGAAAGGTCGAGAAATTAGTAAATATGGGTAACAACAAGAATAAAATAATAAAGATATGTTCCTACTGTATGTACAAAAGTGATAAAAAAATATTCTTCTTTTATATTCATCTTCCATTTTAACTGTTCTCCTAAAATTCATAAATGTAAAAAAAAAAATATTTGAGAGGAATTTAAAAATATTGGATAAACAAGTGTGAATGAATGTATAAAAATTAATTATCGTTAACCGTGTAGTCGTTAAAGTATTTCTGTTGTTGTTGTAAAAAAGCCGAAATTTCCGTGATGTCCGTATATATGATAGATACCTACCTACATACGTACACAAAAATGACAAAAGTGTATGTGTGCGCTGTGCGCATTTTTAGTTGTGGCAAAATAAAATTGAGGATTCCCCAGAGTCAGCTTTTTGACTTGTTTCGGAATGCGGATTGTGACGTCAACAAAAACATTGGCATCGTATAAAACAAATGCGCGCGCGGTGAAGTCGAACAAATTCAGAGAAGGCAGCGAACGAGACAGTTCTAACGCTAACTACTTCAGAATTGCAGCGTGCTAAGTAAAAATCAATTGATTTCGCAGACAGTCGAAAAAGTGTTATTCTACTACAAAGTGTTTATTGTGTTTAAAAATGCGTTGTTTGTACTTGATTTCGAGTGTTTGTGCAGTCTTCAGTGTTGTGGCTCCTTCCGCAATTCCGATGTGGGAATTTTTGAAAAGAGAGGAAAAAGTAAGTTTTGTTTAATATCTTACTTAAAATTATTCAGTAGACTCATCGGCAATTCGATTTGTTTTTATAAAATTAAGTTACTATCTATGACAAGAATTCAAAGTAACCCAATTAATTTTATTTGCAGACGTCCTACATTTACTCGTTGTTCGCAAGTGAAATCGAGGATTATTGCCAGAATGTGCTGGAAGACAAAAATTGCAGTCAAGACTTGCTGAAAGTTGGACTAGAAAACTTGAAGCGCATTAGTGACGAAGAATTGGACGAATTGGACCCCTACCAAAGGGATGCCGCTTATTTAAGTAAGTAAATTTATAATCATGCATATAATTTCTAAAGAGTATGCTTTTAAAATTTCAAAAAATACCAATCAAAACGAACACAACAATTGAACATTTTGGAGCCGCTATTAAAAGCTAAAGCTGTAAAATCATAAAAAATATATTCAATTTATGAAATTATTAACAATTTTCTTTTTTCTTTTAAAGTATGGGATACTCTGTTAGGTGGTCACATCGCCAAAAAAAATCCGAAACAAAAAACTACATCAACCCCGAAACCTAATTCGTACGAGGACGATTTGTTACTGGAGGTCACCAATGATGAGTTTGGTACCCAAGAAGAAGAATCTGCAAAGATAGAGTCCTATTACACTGTAGAACCGCCCAAAGGATTCGTATTCGTCCCTTTCACCGATAAATTAATTTTCGATACTAGTTCACCTGATCAAGATCAGGCTTTCACCGAGTCGGTTCACATTTCCAACAACATACCTGACAACAAATACATAGAAAATAAAAAGAAAAAGCCTACAGCGTTAAAGAAACAGGACCTGAAGTCTACGATTCCTTTCGAAGTTCTTTTCACGAAAAAAATGGACAATCAAGGACCTCTGGAAGACCTGGAATACAGCAGGGATTATCCCAAAGTTTATCTGACTGGACCAAGCGTGGTACGCGTGTATCCAGACGGTTCCCCAGTAACGGACTTTACCCCTCAAATACCTCAAGATGAAGATTTGTACCAATACAAAATGCAGCACATGAAGATTCCCAGGTTTTAAAAATTGACTAGTGTATTTTTTGTGTGTGGCGCGACAAGAAAAAATGCCGCATATTACTATTGTGATATTGTACATAGTTATTTATTATTTATGAAGATTTTTTTACTTATTTATTTCTTTTAAAAAGTCGTAACGGACTTAAAGTACTTCCACTTTTGTTGGAAAACTTGTTTTGTAGATTGTTCCTGAGCGTATTGTAAATATTAAGCTAATGTAAAGGAGAAGTAAACATATTAATAAATATTTTTAAGATATGTAATGATATTCTTTTATTTTTGATTTCTACTATTTTGGTTTCTAAGGCAAAAAGATAGCTCGAAAAAAATCCAAAAAAAGTCTTACGGCATTCATTAAAAAAAAATCTTTTGGATGTTTCATTCCCACCAGCCACTAATGCTGGTGGACGGGCAGTCCCTCCGGACTACGCCGGAAGGTAGGTAGGGCGGAAGACTCTTCAGCCTCCTTTCAGGAATCGTGGGAATGGGTGGGTAGTGGTGGTTTGGGTGAGAAAAATGAAGACAGAAGAGAATGAAAGATTATCTGTGGAATATTACTGTCCCAGCATTTGTCTATGTCATCCAGGAAACCAGAGAAAAACTTGGATCAAGGCAGACGGACCCGGAATCGAACCGGCGTCCTCCCGAATACTAAGCATTGGTCTAAACCTCTAGGCCATGCCCCTCGGTACGACATTAATTAGAACAACAACCTATATATACATACATAACTGAAACAAAATTACACTGATAGACATACATAACACCATCAACATCATGTCTTCAGTTCGAAGCCTAGTTGGAGAAGTATCTCCACTTTTTCCTAACATGGACTAACATAATTTATACCTCTGGGGTTCATGTCTCTCTGAGAAGTCCTACCAACTTATATCGCCTACTTTTTATTGAATTCCACAGCGAATTGTATTCTCATATTCATCCTATCTCTTTATTTTTAATCTTTAGCATTCTCTTGTAACACCGCATCTTAAAAAGTTTCCTAACGGCATACCTACGAAAAGAATGTATCAGCCTAATTGCATTAAAAGGGAAGGCATTGAGTTGTTAGGGTCCCGTTTTGGCATGTTGACTAGGAACATTAAAAACGACATTACCGAGATCGAGAAACAAGAAAACTTTTCGGCACTACTCTCAGTTAACTGTGCCTGTCAGAAACAATATAAATCAAACAAATTGACATTAAAATTAAACATTGGTGGGAGATGTTAAGATGGGGCTGAGCGACTCGGGAACAGTCCTTTTTATAAAAGTTTTCTGGAGAGCAATTTTTATGGTGGTATGGCCTCTCGTTATTCTGCCTATAACGTTGATTAACACTGACATAGAATTCAGATGTCTCTATGTTGTGGTTCTAATGGCGGGATATTGGGTTTCGGAATGCTTACCGGTGGGAGTCATCGCCTTTATACCAATTGTTTTCTTTCCACTTATGAATATAGCATATGTGGATCTTATTGCAAAACAATACCTCCAAGCAGCCAACATGATGTTTATAGGTAAGGTTAGAAGAGAAGTGATAAATAAAAAAATTAACGAAAAACAAGGTTTCTTACGGTCTTCGAAATACTTGAACATTAATTTTTTTACTAATAAACGCTATGGGACGATAAACATAGTGAATCGGCCCCAGAGGGATATCTGGATTATTTTTTGAGGGTATGGTGGTACTAATGAGATACGTTAATCCTCAAAATTTTAGACCTCGTGTCTATTTTCGTTTCTGAATAAATCCAAAAAGCGAAAAATTAGAAAATATTTTTTCTCTCAAAAACGGCTTAGTCGATTTGAATGAGATTTATAGACGTTATAGTGACATATAAGGGCATTACGGGAAAAAAAGTAACAGGTCATAATATTTATTTATATAAAATCGCCTGTTTTTAGTTATTATTATAAAGGTTATGAGCTGTTATTTTTTCCAAGTATAGCCCTTAAATTATAGAGATATTTAAGGGTTGTATGTCTATAAATTTCATTGAAATCGGTTAAACCGTTTTTGAGAAAAAAACATATTTTCTGATTTTTCGTTCTTTTTTTGATTTATTCAAAAACCAAAATACATAGAGGCGATTAATGTATCTCATTAGTACCAATATACCCTCAAAAAATAATCCAGATATACCTCTGGAGCCGATTCACTATGCTTTTCGTCCTATGGCCTTAATCTGCTGCTTTATGGGGTTACCCTTTGGTATCAGAAATTGAACAAATTTTTTCGAATAAGTTTTGAGGAAACCTTTGTATCACGGCTTTCTTCAAGACTCTCGCAAATATTTTTGAAAATTGTTTCAAATGAGCCAAACAGAGAAAATCGTTCTATTTCGGAAAATTACAACATCATGGTCCTGAAAATAAAAGGATGAACGTGACCACATCTTTTGTGTTGTCTTTTCCTACAGTAACTTTATGATACTGAGGCTGGAGTTCCGAAAATGGACATCTTCTGTTTGGCTTTAAATTTTTACCACACATTTATGGATTAAATGGTAATACCTTTCCAGAACTCCAGCTTGAGAGGGCTTTCTCGCGTCTAAGCAAGCACATTTGTAAACGGTCAAGTGTCAATTGTAATCGAAAAATAAAATAATTCGAAGTGGTCTGTCGCAGGCAGCTCCGACAGAACACAGACCAACTTTTACCTGTTGTCTTAACAGCGCGTTTTAGAAAATACCACAAATGGCGCTGTAAACGCCATCTGTAGTACAGTGCTACATTTTAGGATTACGTATGCTTCAGCAAGGTCCATTTAAATATATGTATATNGGTCTTCGAAATACTTGAACATTAATTTTTTTACTAATAAACGCTATGGGACGATAAACATAGTGAATCGGCCCCAGAGGGATATCTGGATTATTTTTTGAGGGTATGGTGGTACTAATGAGATACGTTAATCCTCAAAATTTTAGACCTCGTGTCTATTTTCGTTTCTGAATAAATCCAAAAAGCGAAAAATTAGAAAATATTTTTTCTCTCAAAAACGGCTTAGTCGATTTGAATGAGATTTATAGACGTTATAGTGACATATAAGGGCATTACGGGAAAAAAAGTAACAGGTCATAATATTTATTTATATAAAATCGCCTGTTTTTAGTTATTATTATAAAGGTTATGAGCTGTTATTTTTTCCAAGTATAGCCCTTAAATTATAGAGATATTTAAGGGTTGTATGTCTATAAATTTCATTGAAATCGGTTAAACCGTTTTTGAGAAAAAAACATATTTTCTGATTTTTCGTTCTTTTTTTGATTTATTCAAAAACCAAAATACATAGAGGCGATTAATGTATCTCATTAGTACCAATATACCCTCAAAAAATAATCCAGATATACCTCTGGAGCCGATTCACTATGCTTTTCGTCCTATGGCCTTAATCTGCTGCTTTATGGGGTTACCCTTTGGTATCAGAAATTGAACAAATTTTTTCGAATAAGTTTTGAGGAAACCTTTGTATCACGGCTTTCTTCAAGACTCTCGCAAATATTTTTGAAAATTGTTTCAAATGAGCCAAACAGAGAAAATCGTTCTATTTCGGAAAATTACAACATCATGGTCCTGAAAATAAAAGGATGAACGTGACCACATCTTTTGTGTTGTCTTTTCCTACAGTAACTTTATGATACTGAGGCTGGAGTTCCGAAAATGGACATCTTCTGTTTGGCTTTAAATTTTTACCACACATTTATGGATTAAATGGTAATACCTTTCCAGAACTCCAGCTTGAGAGGGCTTTCTCGCGTCTAAGCAAGCACATTTGTAAACGGTCAAGTGTCAATTGTAATCGAAAAATAAAATAATTCGAAGTGGTCTGTCGCAGGCAGCTCCGACAGAACACAGACCAACTTTTACCTGTTGTCTTAACAGCGCGTTTTAGAAAATACCACAAATGGCGCTGTAAACGCCATCTGTAGTACAGTGCTACATTTTAGGATTACGTATGCTTCAGCAAGGTCCATTTAAATATATGTATATCTACTTGCTGAAACGAATCCCGGCGTAGCTCACCTCAACGTGGTAGGCACGTTACCATAATCGAACAAAATAATTCGAAGTGGTCTGTATTCTGTCGAAACTGCCAGACGCGGATCGCGATTTCGATCTTTTTGGATCTCATCAGCGCGTCGCAGGCAG